GATACAATTACAAACAGCTATTTCTGGGCTGTACCTTATATCTGGTACCAAATATCACGGTTGTGGAGTGAACATTACGAATGTAAGGGACTAAAACAATAAATCGGATGAAACATATATATGCTTGCTATATCTATATCTGAACCGATTTTCACTAAATTTGATATACTTGCTTCTAGGCTGAATTTGGTCCGATGTACTAAAATTCAGTCCATGTGGGCTTATATCGGCCATTTGGAGCACAATTAACCCGAAATCGGATGAAGATATATATGGGAGCTATATCCAAATCTGAACTGATTTCGGTAAAATTTAAAACAGCTATTCCTGTGCTCCATCTAATACCTGGTACCAAATATCACGGTTGTGGAGTGAACATTACTAATGTAAGGGACTAAAACACTAAATCGGATGAAACATATATATGGTTGCTATATCTATATCTGAACCGATTTTCACTAAATTTGATATACTTGCTTCTAGGCTGAATTTGGTCCGATGTACTAAAATTCAGTCCATTTGGACTTATATCGGCCATTTGGAGCACAATTAACCCGAAATCGGATGAAGATATATATGGGAGCTATATCCAAATCTGAACCGATTTCGATACAATTACAAACAGCTATTTCTGTGCTCCATCTAATACCTGGTACCAAATATCACGGTTGTGGAGTGCATAGTAGGAATGTGAGGGACTTAAAGATCAAATCGGATGAAAGATATATATGGGAGCTATATCCAAATCTGAACCGATTTTCTCCAAATTTGTTGTATTTACTTTAAGGCTAATCTCGGTCACATGTGCCAAAATTCGGGCCATTTGGGCTGAAATTGGCCATTTGGTGGTCAATTAACCCGAAATCGGATGAAGATATATATGGGAGCTATATCCAAATCTGAACCGATTTCGATAAAATTTAAAACAGCTATTTCTGTGCTCCATCTAATACCTGGTACCAAATATCACGGTTGTGGAGTGCATAGTAGGAATGTGAGGGACTTAAAGATCAAATCGGATGAAAGATATATATGGGAGCTATAGGTATATCTGAACCGATTTTCTCCAAATTTGATATACTTGCTTCTAGGCCGAACCCGGTTGGGTGTGCCAAAATTCAGGTAATTTGGACTGATAGTGGACATTTGGTGCTCATTTAACCCGAAATCGGATGAAGATATATATGGGAGCTATATTTAAATTTGATCCGACTCCCACCAATTTCAATAGGGTTCGTCCTTGGGCCAAAAAAATATTGTTTGGAAAATTTCATCTCAATCGGATAATAAATGCGACCTGCATTTTGTTCACAAGAATACATGGACAGACGGACGGACGGACGGACGGACAGACGGACGGACATGCATAAATCGACTCAGAAAGTGATTCTATGAAGGTTCTCAAAAGTAACTATGGGTCTATCTCGTTTCCTTCTCCATGTTACAAACAAATGCACAAAGACATAATACCCTTACCACTATGTGGTGTAGGGTATAAAAAGGTAGAAGGAGCACGCAAAATATCCCAACCAATTAATGGCTTGTAGTTCTACATTTGACTATACGAAACTGTGGAATCCTTGCGGACTAATTCCAACAACGCTTAAAGAATATTTTAAAATCTTCTGTTTATGATAAATTTGATATAAACAATTAAAAAAGAATTTGATACCCTGCACCATGATATATACAATGTCAAAATGAGGACGTATACAGGGTTGCCCATATTCGACGGACGGACCGCGTTTGAAGCGTCAGTCCAAGCAGACTTTTACCATGAACCAATACACGCCACGCGAACGCTCTGAAATAGTTGAAATTTACATTCAACAGAAGAAGTCAATTGTGAAAAAAATGTGAGAAGTGCGCCTTCTAAGAACGCCATTAAGCGTTTATACGAAAAATTTTCGACTGGTAAGGCTCTTTCTAATCGGAAGAGGCCATATAAAAGTCGACCAAGGCGATCGGCCGAGAATATCGCTGCCGTACGAGCCAGTGTTGAGAGGTCCCCAAGAACATCCCAAAAACGCCGTTCTCAGCAGTTGGGCATGGCTCGGCCCACTTTACAACGGATTATTCGCATTGATTTGCATTTGTTCCCGTACAAAATTCAATTGACGCAAAGAATGTTGCCTGCGGACAATCCTCGTCGATTGGAATGGGCCCAAAGGTCCGTCGAATATGGGCAACCCTGTAGTAACAATTTTTTATAGGCACCCATTAGAAACTTCATATACAAAACTTTAGAAAATTCTTTGGAAGATAGCGTGATTACAACAGACAAACGGAAGGACAGATTGACGGATATCGCTAAAATGGATTAGAACTATGCGCTCATCATGAGTTTATATTCTTTGTTGGGTCTAAAATAATTACTTCGATGAGTCACAAATGGATAGACAAACCTAATATGCCCTCCGTGTTATGGTTAAGGGTATAACAAGTATAGCAGCTAATTTTGGCCGGGCCGAACTTTTAAGGAACTTGAAAATTTTCAAAAAAAAAATCGTCGCCGTCGTCCTATATGTAGATTATATGAAGACGTGGACTTACATAGACAATTTTCCGATATAGATTGTAGTACTCATAATATCGAGGGGTACCGTTGTATAAGGACTATACGATATCGTAGACCTATACAGGGTGCAACCAACTTCAGACTGCTGTCATTTCTAAGCCAATTTTCCGACAGCATCTAAAATTATTCCAGTAACAGCTTATTATATATTGTTTACAAGCGCACAAAAGCATTTTGTTTAGATTTTTTCAGGAAAAAAGTTATTCATGATGGAATTCAAGCGTGATAGTGTGATTTCTTTATATTTGGCTGGAAAACCACAAGTGGCTATCGTTAGAGCAATCCAGCATTTAAATGTGAATAAATCTTTTGTGTCTCGTACCCTCGCTCGGTACCGTGTTACCGGTAGCGTAGCCCGACGTCAAACATGTGGACGGAAGAAAACAGCAACATCAGCAGAAATGGTTCGAAAAGTAAAGAAGCGACTTGATCGAAACCCGCGCCGCATAGGCCGAAAAATGGTTCGTGAGCTGAACATATCGCAATATTCCATTCAGAAATTATTGAAAAATGACCTCGGAGTAAAGCCATTGAAATACCAAAAAGTGCAAAAACTTATGCCGCAACTGAAAGAAAATAGACTCAAGAGAGCTTCGCTTGGCCGAAAGTGGTGAACTGCCGAGATTGGTTTTCTCCGACGAGAAAACACTCGTTGTCCAGGCGTTTGTAAACAAACAAAATGATCGTGTTTACTTTCCAAAGAGGTCAGCTGAAAATGTGCACCTTCGGTTGGCCACCTAAAACTCAAGCGCCGGTCACAGTGATGGTGTGGGCCGCCATAACAGCCGATGGTGGCTCTCCGCTCAGCACGCGCCACGCAAGAATGGTATCTTATATAGAATATAATTTGTATGGAGTGTATATTACGGCTTTAGGGAAACTTATATATCAAATTGGGTATACATTACACATTTGATGCACAATAAATTTGAAATCGAGGTATACGAGGTATACGGGAGCTATATCTGAAACTTGCCTGATTATCACAAATTTCAAAAGCGTTAGTCCTTGGGCGCAACAAATGAACTGCGAAAATTTTCACCTCAATCGAACAATAAATGTGACTGAAGCATGACGCGGGCTTGCATAGATCGACTAAGAATGAGATTCTCGGAAGACCACCAAAAAGGACTAAAGGTCCACCTCGTTTAACTTCATGCTAGAAATATTCAATGTGGTTTCACTTTTTGCCCCATATAGCAGTATCGCCTAATTTTCGGTATTTCCAACAAAATCGGTTGAAATTTAAATTAATTTATAGACCAATGAAACGGAACGTCCACATTTTACGGATTGCGGATTTTATCATGCATCATGTTTTTACATCGTTTGGGGCATGCAACTCTCGAACTTAACATAGTGTCTTATTATTATATAATGACTTACGTTGGTACAGAGTGGACGCGTCTCACCGATAGAGTTCGATACTCAGCGTCGTGGTTTTTAAGGCGTGAAAAAGCCTCAAATGTAAATTGTAATACTCTCTGCTTAAATTTACGGGATTTTTTAGACAATGACCAAAGTCGAGTAACAATTTGTACAGTTACAAATTATGTTTTAGGTTCTTGTTATATGGCGAATTTATTAACCAGTCGCCATGGGTAGCATGTGAAATATTTGTTGCCGTAATCATCTAGAAATTAAAAAACTCGAAAGTGTCTACTACTTCCAAAATTAGAGAATTTTTAAATGATATATATTAAAATATTTACAATAATGGAGGGTATACTATACTATACCATACTAGCTGATCCCGGTGCGCTTCGCTGCCCCTTTTGATGTTATATGCATTCAAAATTTTATATACGAATATTTGTTGGTTTAAAAAAAATAAATTAAAATTTATTTTTGTTCCAAAGTTGTTGACTTTATCTGTAATCTATCAATAAATATGTGCATATATAATCTCAATTTTTGGGAGGTACCTCTTATTCTGATGCTATATCTCTAGTTCCAAGTGCAATTTCAACAATTTATATAGCCTATGTTACTTTCAGAAATTTTCAGGAAAATCTGTTCAGCGGTTTTCGGGTCCATAAACTGTAAACAAACATACAAACATTTTCCTCTTTTATAGATATAGAAGATGCATATGATACCTCCAGATATTAAGTATTTTGATTAACGTCTCCAAGAACCTGCAAAGAGCTGTGAACTGAACTCCATTTGTGATGTTAATATAGTTAAAAGTTTTAGCTAAAACTTTAATGCTTTCTTCCAGAACATGCAAGAATCTACTAGTTTTGCAACTTTTTTAAATATCATAAAGGGAAAATCGAATATTGTAGTATTTTTTTTTAAATTCTTGCAGTTCTTGAACAGACAACAAATAACTTACATTATCAACTAAATCAACGAATTGTTAAGAGTTGTAAAATTATAATAAATTACTTGGCCTTACTTTTGACATTTAAATAGAGCGTTTAATATTTTATAGGATTTTATTTATAATTTGAATTAACATTTGATTTCATATAACGAAATTAATGAAATGTTTACAAAATGTATGTATTATTTATCGTATATGTTGTTTTAGGTGTATTTTAATTCAATTTTAATTCAAATCCAAAACAACAACAAAACTAAGAAGTTACAATTTACATGAATATATTTTTGGTTGGTATGAATATTTTCATCAAAACTAAGTGTAATTAGATTAGTGAGAATTCTTTGGATGAAATTTAAGCATGTGTTTACGCCACTGTGAGCGATACGTAAACTTCTGGGCACAAGGATCACATTTATATAGATGATTGCCGGTATGTTTGGCCATATGTTCGCGCAAACTGTCTCTTTTTGTGTAGCTCTTTTCACACAAAGTACAATGATGTCTGCGATCGGCATGGAAGTTAAAAACATGTTGCCTCAAAAGATTTTCTTTCAAAAACACTTCACTGCACTGCTGACATTTAAAATGTTGGACTCCTTTTTTTGCCACTATTCCTTGCTTGTATCGTTGACATTGGCGGGTATGGCGTATCAAAGTAATTTCAAGGTCGAATCGTTTTTCACAAGCCTTGCACTGGTACGTGAAATCGCGGTCTAAAAATAGATGACTCTCATACTGTTGGCGGACCTGGTACTTGCGTCCACAGCAATAGACATAAAATTCTTTTCCTGAATGTTTTTGACAGAAGTGATTACGATACGAAGCAAAATTGTTACTAATTTTGGGACAGAATCGGCATTTTATAGGAACGGGTCCAGGACAGTTTTTAGAAGTAGCATTTTTTGAAGATCCTTTCGACTTTTGAGTCTTGCTCGGTTTATCTGTGTTAAAAGTGCATTGGTCGCCTGAAAAGTTATTTTCGTACATGTCCATCTGTCCAGACATTGGCTCATTATCCCCGAAAACTAATTCCGGTAACAGCATATCATCGTAAGCACTATCTGGGCTATCTGTCAACATTTCATGGTCCTGTGGCTCATCCTTTATGTGTACATTTTGGGGCAATGTTTCATTCTTAGTCATGACCTTGGATTTTTTTATGAGTTTGTTTTGCGCCACTGTGACAGTTTGCTGGAAATTGTGGAAATCGGCAATGTGACACCAACAATCATAACACAAAACACGCAAATCGTTTTGATTTAAAAACTGGAAGATAATATGAAACAGATTCAATTAATTCACTTGAAATCACAAATTTGAATAGCCTACCATTGGATCAAAATATCTGACAGTGATTTCATAGACCTCTAGATCATCAAAGAGTGGCTTAAAATTGCTGCATTCGCTAACGCATAATCGGCAGATTTGCGTTTTGCCCATACTGACTAGTTTTTGTTGATATTTTGAATTTTTTGTTTTAAACTTTCTTGTAACAAGCCGGGCACAGTTGCGACTCGGTGATCTTGCGACTTCTGGTAGAATACTAAGCCTTCGCGACAAATGCTCCGCCACACAAATTAAAGGACAATGTTGTAGTTTACTACCTAGCAAACATAAGCAGGTAGAGAACTGCCCTCATTAAGTGTGTTGCGTTTTTTCCTTGAAATACGGCAGATGTCCTTTTGTTTAAGCTAAATGTTTTACACAAGGATTAACACTGAAACCTGCGTAATAAATAAAAACATTAACTAATTAGAATTTCCTTAAAACAATTATTTTACCTGTATACACATTGGACAGTCGATTTTGTGGAATTGTTTATTGTAAAACATTAAAGACTTATTTTAATATTTTTCCAGGATCTGTTAACGATCTCTCAAACAACCACTTATTCTCTCTGTCGGCGTTGCAGTTGCAGTACTCAATAACAAGCCGTTTAAGAACGATGTTGCCATACCTAAGGAATATATGTTTAACAAGGCAACGTGCAGAGCTGGGAAACGAAATGACTGAGTACATTCAAATATAAAGCGTCTGTTTAAGATAAATGCGTTTATATTGGGAAGCATTGTGTTTAATTATTAATTTCGAAAAAGGGCGAAATATTTACATTTTTTCATATTTCATTCTTGATCAGCGTAAAATTCTAAGACGATTTAGCCCTTTCCGTCCATCCGTCTTTTGTAATCACGCTAAGTCAAAACGAATTAAGATAGGAAGCTAAAATTTTGCACAGATCTGTCTTTTGTCTGCAGGCAGGTCAATTTCGAAGATGGGCTATATCAGTCCAAGATATCGTATAGCCCCCATATAACGGTACTCCCGATATTCGGTATGTTGATGATTTTAGACTCATTTTTCAATGGAATCGTCTGAAATTCCACACAAGGAGTTCCTTATCCTCTGAGGGAGAATTGTCTATATAGGTCCACAATATCGTATATCCCGCCATATAACGGCACATTCCGATATTTTGTATTTTGATGATTTTAGCCACATTTTTAGGTCCACAATATCGTATAGCCCCCATATAAGGGTACCATCCGATATTCGGTATTTTGATAATTTTAGCCACATTTTCCACTGGAATGGAAATTAACAAATAAGAGAACCCAAGCAATTTTTATTGGATCATAAATTTTGACATTTAAATTAAATTGTTGGAATTACCAATATTGGAATTAAAATTCCCAATTTTTAAGTTTAACTGAAACTTTTGGAAGTACGTATGCAAATAATTGCCAAGTGCTGTTTCAGATGAATTCAATGTCATACCCACTTTTATGAAATTCTGCGTTACGTTTATTTTTGATGTAATTCTAAATCAAACGCTGCAACTAATCATATAGTTATATTAGCTGCCCTATTAATATTTCCAGTTAGCGCAACTAAATTGTTATTGCTTAAGTGTTAATTTACAAAGATTACTATAAATGGTTTATTTTATTGCATATTTTTACTCTTTAAAAGCATTTTGCTTATTTATGTGTTTTACTTCTGTATCCGTATACTGCTGTTGGGAACATAACATTACATTTTTCTGTTATTTCTCTTTTCGCAGTTCTTGAGTTTTTGCAACGGAGAAAAGGGTGGTTTTCAGCGCTCTCTTATGTTCATGCGGCAGTGATGACAACGTTTCCGTTTGCCCCCATTTTTTGAAATAAGGATAGGTATTTGTATGTTATGACATTATTATTATTAGATATCGTTGTTAAAACCTGTGGTCACCCAGTTATTATATCTATATATAAGAAAAATCTTTGTACGTTTGATTGTTTGTTTGTTATTCATGGACTATACAACTAAACAGATTTTTCAGAAAATCTCCAAATATACTAAAGCATTGTCTGGAAGTAACAAAGGTTATATACAGTTTTATACCGTTCTCCATACTATGGAGAGCATATTAATTTCGTCGTTCCATTTGTAACTCCCCAATATACTCATGTCAGATGCAACAAAGTATATATATTTTTGATCAGCGTAAAATTCTAAACCGATTTAGCGATGTCCGTATGTCTGCCTATCGCTATGTTTTAAACAAGTTGAGATAAAAGGCAGGTTATGTTCGAAAATGTCGGTCTACGCCCTTATATAAGGGTAGCTCCCAATATTCGGTATTTTTTCGTATTAAAATTAAATTTCGTATTTAAAGTTCGTAATGTGTACTACAGTCTATGACAAAAATTTGGGCTTGCAGATCCACGCTTTCGTATAGCCGCCATATAACGATCCATTCCTTTTTCTGTATTTTGATGGTATAAGCGCCATTATTTAGAGGAATTATTTTGAATTTCGTATTTGAAGATCCTAATGGGATCTACAGCCTATGACAAAAAAATCGTATGCTGCTTTTTATACCCTATACCACATAGTGGTAAGGGTGTTATGTCTTTGTGCATTTGTTTGTAACATGGAGAAGGAAGCGAGATAGACCTATTGTTACTTTTTAGGATATTCATAGAATCACTTTATGAGTCGATTAAGCATGTTAGTTCGTCCGTTGAAATTGCAGATATATAGCGTATTTGCTGCATCAAATACATGTGAGGGATTTTAAACCCCAAATCGGATATAACACATATATCGATATATATATATATATATATATATATATATATATATATATATATATATATATATATATATATATATATATATATATATATATATATATACATATCGATATATGTGTTATATCCGATTTGGGGTTTAAAATCCCTCACATGTATTTGATGCAGCAAATACGCTATATATCTGCAATTTCAATGAAATCTGGAATATGTACAAAATTGAAATCAACAATAAAATTGGAATCGGTTCAGATTACGATGTAGTTCCTACATAACACAACAACTTAATTGAGGCTGCGATTATTCCATATGTATTGCTACATCGAATGTGCAGTTCCCTTTAAGTTTGGCATTTGCTATGACAGCTAATAAATCCGAAGGACAAACTCTTCGTGTATCCAGACTAAATTTTGCCATGTTTCTGTTTTCCTCATGGACGTAGACGGAACAATCTTTTTGTTTAAGCTCCTGAGGGAAATCAAAAAAAATGTATATTGTACATCCCAAAGCATCACGATAAATACGTTTTTGAATTCTTGAGTTTGTTTTATGTTTATTTAGAAACCCCAAAATATTCGTATATAAAATGTTGAATGAATATAAAATCAAAAGGCGTGATAATATAAGTGTCCTTGTAAAACATTAAAAAAAAGTTGAACCAACAACACAAGATTCAATAAAAGTGTCTGACAATCGTAAAATGACACAAATTACTCGATTCAACAGTTTTAGGGACATTAAACCTTCTCCTTGGTATGTGCAGCGATTTTTCAAATGGATTTGTTTAGCAACACTGAAGAGAAGAGAAAGAGAACGTATGACACTGAGTTTTGCACTCTCCTTTGTAGCACAAATGCAAAACCAGATGTTTTGTGGTAATGGAAGAACGACACTACACTACGACAATCCAACCGAATGTCGCATCACAGTCGTTGGAATAGTCGTGCATTTGTTTTGTTTATTCCTTGTGTGTTGTATGACAACGCGTCACTATTTGGTGCAAATAAAATCTCAATAAAGCGACATTCGCATCTTCAGTGTTGACATATTAATTTGGATAAAGAAGGAAATATTAAAATAAGGTATGAATAAAATGTGCAACAATAATAATAAATTAAAAGAATTATAAAGTGATTACAAGCGCCGACGTAACCAGAAATGTCTTTTGAAACCATTTCGGAGGGGACCGGCTTCCACCCTGGCTACGTCAGTGATTCGTTTTTAATGCCAATTGGGCTGAAAGTGCGAGAGGACTATCTTCTATCGACATTATACTAAATCAAAGCGCAATATTGGCGATCGTTATACTTGTCCTAGCTGCAGCAAAATAAGGAATACTTGGAAGCAAATTGTTTTTTTAGTTTTGTGTTTAGATTACATTCTTCCTTTATTGAAGGCTTAAAAGGCGCGAAAACCGATTATGCATTGTATTGTTCGTACTGAAGAACTTTTACAAAGTTTTAATATAATGAATTATCTTTTCTTAGCCAAATTTTACAAAAAGACAGCTAAAATTATATTCGAAGCTAATATAAATTAATTTTTACATGTAGTTATAATACGTCGTATTTATTTGAATTTAAATATCAAAAGTGTTTAAAATAGAAGACATTTGTATCGGTGTTTGGAAGGGATCGCAAAACAAACTGACTCGAGCGGGCAAGATTCTCTTCCACCTCAATTGAAATTTTCGGATAAAGATTCCTTGCATTTTAGGGCTTAACTCTAGTTTAGTAAAAACTCTTCAATTTTTTCAAAATTTTTGCCAGTGATCCCGGGAATTTTTTTTCTTGGGGAACGGACCCGGGACCCGAAAGTCCGGGTTCAAGACCCCGACTAGACCCGGATCCAATTAGCCGATATAGACAATATAGATATCGTTGGAAAGCTTATAAAAATTCCTATCCAAGTGGTCACATGATGGGGTAAGTGGTTACAGTTCAGAAGTTATAGTCAAATTATCGATTTTTTGGACCCGGATTTTTTATAAAACCCTCAAAAAGTCAAAAAAGGGTCCATTATGGAGGACAACAAAATTGATGCACAAATTATAGCAGACACTCTAACCTTTCCAAAATGCTAGAATTTGTGCTAATACCTTTTTCGGGTCCAGAGATATGGGTCTTTCCATCCGCATAACCCGATTCTAACCAGTTCATTAAAATTATGTTTTCAATTAAAAAGGGTTTATTTCGCGTAGCAGTCGTTGGAATTACTACCACCATAATGGGCCCTTTTTGACTTTTTGGGGGTTTTATAAAAAATTCGGTCCAAAAAATCGATAATATGACTATAACTTCCGAACCATGACCACTTTTTGGATAGGTATTTTCATAAGCTTTCAATCGATATCCATATTGTCTATATCGGGTAAGTTGATACGGGTCCAGGCCGGGTCTTGAACCCGGACTTTCGTGACAAAAATCCCGGTCCCGGTTCCGTGCGCCAAGAAAAAAATAGTTTCCAGAAATCAGGGTAAAAATACGTACCTCTGGAAAAAATTTCGAAAAAATCGAAGAGTTTTTACTAAACTAGAGTTGTTCCTATTTTAGGTATATGATGTCTTCGGAATATATTGCTAATAACGAATATTATTTTGGTTGTTCATTTGACAACATTTCAGTGTCAAAATGTATTTAATAACTAGCTGAACCAGGCCACTTTTGTTGGTTAGAAAAAAATTCAAAACACGTAAATATAGTAATATTTTAACGCGTAAACAAACAAATAGCTCGATCTACCAACGCGGGAACATGTCAGGAACAGCTGACCATGAGAAAAGCAGAATCATGCCAAATTCAGTCCGCATACACAAAGGGTTTGTTCTTTGGATTTATTAATTTCATAGTAAATGTGGCATTACTGTTACATTAGAGAATTCGAGGTAGCAACATACTTCCGTATAATGATAGTATCATCAGTTAAATTGTTTTGTAGTTTTTTACTGTTAGCCTAATGCTATATGGGAACTATATCCAAATCTCAACGGATTTGTAATTAATTTGTCAATTTTATTATTGTAGCCAAATTCGGCCAGACATTCTGAATTTCATTGGAATCGAACATCCATATCGTATTTGGTGCTTAACATACATGAAATCGGTCGAAAATATATATGGGAGCTATATCTATCTGTACCGATATCAATATAATTTAGAAAATTTATTTGTGTACCATATTGAGTCACTCATGCCGAATTTCATTGGAATTGGATATAAGTATCGTGTTTTATGCATCAAATACATGAAATCGGCCGAAAATATATGTGGGAGCTATATCCAAATCTGAACAGATTTCAATATAATTTGGTAAATTAGTTTTTGTTCCAAATTCCGTTATGCATTCCAAATTTGGAGACTGTATCTGCTATCTATCAATAGATATGTGCATATAAAATCTAAATTTTTGAGAAGTATCTCCGATTCTGATGCCATAACTTCAGTTCCAAGTGGAATTTCAAAAATGCATATGACCTATGTTACATTCAGTCGATGTAGTAGTAGGAAATTTTCAGGAAAATCAGCAGTTTTCGAGTCCATAAATTACAAACAAAAAACATACAAACATTTTCCTCTTTTATAGATATAGATTCCATAAGATATAAGTCACATAAGCATATATATATATTTTTTAATACCTTCTATAGAGGGATTTTAAGTCCCTCGACAGCGTAATATGCACTCCACAAGAATGATATTTGGTACCGGACATCAGATACTGCTCGATATATCTTTATCCGATATAAGGATTATTGTGTACCAAATGGGTAATATCAGCCCAAATGGACTGAATTTTGGCAATTACGACTGAATTCATCTTAGAAATCAGTACTTCATATTTGGTGTAAATCGGTTCAGATATAACTACGCTTGTAAACAATATAATGTGCTGTTACTGGAATAATTTTAACAGCTGTCGGACGAGTGGCTTAGAAAAGACAGCAGTCTGAAGTTGGTTGCAGTTTTTTCATCTCACCCTAGTTCTAAAATTATTATTTCGATGAGGAATTGCGAACTTAATACTATGTAGGGTGGGGGATTTAAAAATATTGAAAATTATTTATAATTAAGTTGTAACAAAACTGCATATTTTCGACTTAACGAGGGATAATTTGTGAAAATGTATTTTTTGAATATATGTGTTTTTCTATAAAAAAATAAATAGAAAAAATACCTTGTTGATAATATTTTTTAGTTTTTAAATAAGCTTTGTTTTTAATGTTATATTTTAATAAGGTGCTATATTTGCAAATTATAATTATAAAATCGACTACAATTTATTTATTTTGTTCGAAAAATCTACAATCAACACCTACAGAAAATTGAAGACAATTTAGAACACACAGACATCTTATGGGACTCTTTTTGCCATGCCCATGAATAAAGCTATATTTTCTTGGTTGGTTCCCTCCCTTTAGTATTTTTCGCCAATTTATGAAATCTGTGAATAATGCAAAATAGTAAAATCTATTACCATAATAAGACTCTACTACATAGTTTCATTTTCTCATCTCCGTCTTTTTGTTGTTGTTGCTTCATCGATAATATTTAACATATAAAATGACTCATATTTTTTCCCTAATCCATCACCTGGACATCGAATTTAAATCTGGCTCAGCAATGAATGCGAAGTTAATTATAATGCTCTATTCCAGGACATGCAAGAATTTAATATTTCTACCTGCCTGAATAACAAGGGTTATGCGTGGTTTATCCGGCAATTAAAACATAAGGTACCATAAACTCCGTATTTTCCGACAGATAATCTAAAATTTTTCACTTCGACATCATAACCTTTCACTGCAGTTGGTTACGAATTTGACTTGATAATCTTTTTTTTCTCAAAAATTACACATTGATACAAGCACTTTTAAAAAGATTTAGAAACTTTGAGTTCGACTTGCCCCAATTTGTACAATTAAAATCATTAAAATTCCGAATATCGGGAGGGTCGGTTATAGGGGGCTAAACAAAAACGTGTACCGATATACCTCATAGTTAAGACTTCCAAAAATTGGCAACAAATCATTATTTGATTGGTGGTCAATGACAGTTTTCCCATAGTTTTTTAACAAATTTTTTAACACAAACAGTTGACGAATATATATATAATTGTGTTGAATTGAATATATTTAGTCTATTTCTACCTTTAGCGGATATTACGATTATTGCTTTTTCATTCTCATTAATTTTGTTTTGCAGCAATTCCCCAAAAATTGGAAAATATAAAACGAAATAACACAAGTGCAGCATGGCCAATGCCAATTTGTGTCGGCTATGTATTAATCCATGTACGGAGTACAAACGGCTCTATGAAGATGCGACTGTCTATGAAATAACAATAAAATACTTCGATTCTGAGGTAATTGAAATCAAACAATTCATTTACAATATTTTTGCTCTAAATGTAAGCAAGTATGTATCTTTTATTTCAGTTCCTAAAAAGGCGCAGCCTAACTAGAATATGCTTAAATTGTTGGTGTCATATTGTCGAATTCCATACGTTTAAGAATTCTGTATTGTTGGCCCAGACAAAACTATTTGACGAAGGCATTTCCAATGACGACGGCAATGTTGAACAATCGGACAATTCTAAGAGGATAGATTCCAAAGTAATGTCTGCCATAAGAGAGGAAGAGGAGCGTGTGTGCCGTGTGAATTCATGGACTGAAGATTTAGATATGGATAGTTGCGTGAATGACACCATTAATGAAAATGGATCTACCACTGCAGCCTCAAATACCAACATGTTATCCTCAACATTTAAGCCGAATTCAGAAGAGTCTCAAAACAAAATAGAGGAATCTGGCTGCTCAACAACTATTAAGTTCGAATATGAAGAAACAACTCTGATTTCACAAGAGGAATCGGTTTCTATAGCCAGCAATAGTGAGGCAACTACTGATGATGAGGCTTTAATTGGCCTGAATCAAGCCTGTGTAACGTCACTGAACAACAACTCTTCGAAAAACGACAGTATTTTAGATTCAAATATAATTGTTTCACTGCCAGTGCCCAAAAAATCACCGCAGGAAATGGATGGAATTATTTCAAAATGGCGACCAATTTTAGAGTGCCACATATGTTGCAGGCCGTGCTCAACATTTTCCCAGCTGGAGGGTCATTTTCGTCAGCATCATCCAACGGCGGATCTCTTCATATTATGCTGTCAGATGAAATTGAACAACCGTGCTAGTATAGAAGAACATATACAACTGCACATGGATCCTGAAATATTCAAGTGCAAATTTTGTGACAAAGTATGTACCACCAGACGCAATCTCAACAGTCATATGGTATACTGGCATTCTGAAATCAATAGAGAGGATCTAACGTGCCCGGAATGCAGAAAAATATCCAAAACTCCAGGAGCTTTGAGACGACATAGGCAACGTCACAATGCTAAACGGAAAACACAAGGCAACACCTCGGGAACAGAGATTAGGCGCCGTCGGCTACCTCGAAAACACGTGACTTCTTCACGTATGCATCGCAAGAGGGGTCGTCCACCATTAATGCATGCAGAAAAATCGAATTAATTTTTTGCATTTAAGTTTGTTGTACATTCAATTATACATTTTTCTTATAAAATAAATACACACACATACTTCAAAAAATTGGGAATATGTTGCTGCTCATTTACATTAAAGGGGTTCTGGGGGTGTGTAGGTTATGTACTAGACCAAAACCAATTGTTAACTTCTAATTTTTCATTCAATGTACAACATACAAATCTATGTTGGCCTTAAGGTCGCGACTTTCCGCAGTCATAAAGAGTGGCATTACTAAAATAAAATAACGAAAATTAATAATAAGGAAATGTCAATGTTTTCATGATTTCTACTTTATATACCTCTCAAATTTGGTTGATATCTGTAGACCTCAAGAAATTACAGTTTTTTACTTGGGGTTTGACCTAGCTCAACAAAACAGTATATTGAGCTTATGAACCACTTTAATACTTCATGTTTGATCTGCCTGTAGTATTCGCTAATAATTGTCTATGTAGTAATATTATTTTTTGTTTAGTATTCTTTTTAATTCCGGAAGGCAAATTTCTTTCGTTAACTTAAATGTGTTTTTTTTTTTTGAAACATAATTTTTTGAGATGGTGTCACATATCGGAGAACATGGGGGATATATTTTGTGTGTAAATTGAACGGTATAGCGGAAGCGATCTCCTTCCAATCAGAGCTACACTTAAGATCAAATTGATAAATGAAACGTGCTGAGGATCAAGAAAATTCAAGTGAGTAATTTGTACTAGAAATGTTATCGTACATACGTAATGCCGAAACTTTAGAGTGTCCACTAGACGTTCGTAAAGCAACGTTGTTAAAATGTAGTCTGTCTTCAATTTTCTGTGATCCGGTTAACCGGTAACCCCTACTAGCAATATTTTTAATAGTTTCGATTAGCTGTATTATTCGTGGCATGATAGACCCTAGAAGGTATATATATTGAGGGTCAGCGTAAAATTCTAAGTCGATTTAGCGTTGTCCTGTCTGTTGTTATCACGCTATCTTTTGAACGTTTTAAGATAGAGGTCAAAATTTTGCACACGTGTGTATTTTGCCAGTATGTAGGTTAAGTTCGTAAATGGATCATGTCGGTCCACGTATTCCTATAGCCTCCCATATAAAGGTACCTCCCTTTATTTGGTTTTTTATGATTTTAAACGACATTTTTACCGGAATTGTTTCAAATTTCGTATTTGAAGAACTTAATGGGTACTACTGCCTAAGACAATTACTTTTACAGGTTGACGTCTACGTATAGTATTTTTCATTTTTCGGCATTTCTTTGAAAAAATTTTCAAGTTCCTTCAAAATGGTAGAGGGTTTTAAAAGTTCGGCACGCCCGAACTTAGCTGCTTTTTTCTTGATTAATTTCTTGATTATTTAACTGTAAATTCATACATACATGCATATAGGGTGAGATAAAAAACTGCAACCAACTTCAGACTGCTGTCATTTCTAGGCCACTCGTCCGAGAGCTGTTAAAATTATTCCAGTGACAGCTCATTATATTGTTTACAAGCGTACTAAAGCATTTTGGTGAGAAGTTTCCAGAAAAAAGTTATTCGTGATGAAATTCAAGCGTGATAGTATGATTTCTTTATATTTGGCTGGAAAACCACAAGTGGCTATCGTTAGAGCACTCCTCGCTCGCTGTGATACCGGTAGCGTAGCCCGACTTCAAGGAAGTGGACGGAAGAAAACAGCAACATCAGGAGAATTGGTTCGAAAAGTAAAGAAGCGACTTGATCGAAACCCGCGTCGCAGTGGCCGAAAAATGACGCGTGAGCTGAAAATATCGCAATATTCTATTCGGCATATATTGGAAAATGAGCTCGGGGTAAAGCCATTGAAATTCCAAAAAGAGCAAGAACTTACACAGCAAGAGGAAGAAAATAGACTCAAAAGAGCTAAAGAGTTACTTCGCTTTGCCGAAAGTGGTGAATTGTATTTAAAAGTAGGCGTGGCTAGTTTCTCAGCCCCAAAATATATACTTAATAATTTCGAACCGACAATTACATAAATCGAAATAGTGGCGTAAAAGTGGGCGTGGTCAATATTTCTTTCCATAAAAATATAACTCGGGGTATGGCAAAAAAATTAGGCAAATCGGTCCAGCCGTTCTCAACTGATTTAATTATTAACGAACAACAATTGATTTTTATACCCTCCACCATACATAGTATGGAGCGTATATTAAGTTCGTCATTCCGTTTGTAACTCATCTAGACAAAAAATCTTAGACAGCGGTCCACGATATAATATAGCTCCAATATAACGGTACCCCCGATAATCGATATTCTTATGATTTTAGCCAAATTTTTTAATGGAATCGTCTGAAAATCCGCTCAGCGAGTTCCTTCTGAGTACTCTACCTCCAGAACCTATTGTCTAAATAGGTCCACGATATCATATAGCCCCCATATAACGGTACCTCCATATATTTCTTATTTTGATAATTTTAACGACATTATTCACCATAGTTTTTTCAAATTTCGTTTTTGAATATTGAGATGGCCTATGACAAAAGTTGCCTATGCTGGTCCACGTCTTCGTATAGACTCCCAATATAACGGCGACTTCCTTTATTCGGCATTTTTAAGATTTTAACAGAAATTTTAACGAATTTTATTTTTTTAAAAATTTCCATATGCGTTCCAAATGGTGGAGGTTATTCAAAGTTCGGGCCGGCCATTATTGTTTTTTTACTTGTTAAACTTATATTATTTTACATTTTGCAAGTTCCTTCTATATGGTGGAGAATATTAACAGTTTGGCCCGGCCAAGCTTCGCTGCTTTCTTACTTGTTGTCTTTATAAACCAGTCAGATTTTGCAACATTGGTAGATTATATTTGTACACCAATATCCCGTCCATGTAAACTAAAAATATGGAGTAACACTTCACTTTTTTGTTTTCTCAATTTTTGAGATTTTTTTCTTGTGTGGCTCACAGACTAATTTAATCCAAGAAGTTCTACAATTTCTTCAGCATTATCAACATGTCAAAAACATCTTTAGACCATCAATTAATAATGACAGGGTGCCTGTCATCCGGCCAATAATACTGCCAATAGCCAATGACTTTTGTGATTACGATGTATCTCGCACTTAGTCATGGTATCATGTCCGTGGCGTTGCCCAATCTCAAAGAGCTGTATCTGTTCTTTGATCATCAATACCGCATGATATCCTACAAAGTTCTTGTTGGATGGGGAGGGAGGAAAGTGCTTTTATGTTAAAGAAAAGCAGGACTAATCATAAAATAAGATGGCAAAAATGAAGAAAACTAAGACGACAAAGACAGCAGCAGCAGCAGCAACAACAACAGAGGCTTAATAAATGGCATTTAGGCATTACAAGACGATACGAAATAATCTCCAATCAAGCATTATAAATTGTGCTAGTTTTAATAATAATCATAACAACAACGACGACACCAGCAACAAAATAAAAAGAACAACAATGCAGCTGGATATAAGCAACAAGAGTGTGCCGCAGTAACATCTTGCCAATCCACATTGGCCGCAGCATCATTGTCGTCGTTCGCATCTTCATCCAGACAATCAACATCCAAGTCATTGTCAATATCTCGTATACACCAACCCCAAAGTCCATTGCCATGCTTGTGTTTGCCAACCATCAACCATAATCATGACCATCAACCATCATCTTCGTCATCCTGTATCATTGTCACCCAATAAATCCTCTTGTATTTGATGATTTTCTATTTCCACTGGCGCAACTTCTATGGTTAATGCGTCTCTCAATATTGGATGGAGGACTCTGTTACAAATGCCAAGTTGTGCGGCACTAAGAAAAAATGGCCAATCTGTAGGTACTTATAATAATAACAATAATAAGAAGGAGCGGAATATGAATTGGATATTTCATTAAAGATCACGGAACCTTGAAGCCCCGGAGCTAAGAAAAAAAGTATTTATCTCTTATTTTAAGACTTTCAGACAAAGAGAATATAATTAATATTAGAAAATGATAAATCAAAGCTTCTGATTTTTTAAATTCGGTTTGACGTTTCGAATTACTTAAAATGCAAGTTTACTAAAATTGGAGCTCGAGGTTTTTTTTTTTTGATATTATTTATTTACTATTTTCGATATTTCGTCCTCCGACGGAAGACATCATCAGGAACAATATTTAAACATATAATAAAAAATATACAAAATTTCGCCAAGTACCAACATCGACCTTGTGTTGCTGTCACCTGTTTTGTCACTTTTCGAATTACTTTTTCACTTTTTCCTTCTATAATGTCTAATATCTACAAATACTCTCAACATATAATACTTCATTAAATGGCTTGTAAACATTCTTTGTCGAGCTTTTTCTCAGAAAAATCTTAAAAATTCTTTAGAGAAAATGTACAGAAATAAATGCAATTCTTTATGATACCGAGTTTATGATACTCAATGCCACTATGACTATTTAGTAGAGTACCGAGTAGCAAATAAACATTCATATTGGCAATTAGGTTGTTAACAAATTGTTTCCAGGCCAATCTTTTTTAGGGCCCATTATATATTATATATATTTATTTATACTTCGCAAAATTTACGATAGATTTTTAAATTTGATACAGTCCTATGGGTCACATGTAGAATCATTTGTAAAAAAATATGAGTCATGTCGGTCTGCAATTTGGTATAGCCCCCATGTAAGGGTATACCACGATTTCGAGATTTTTTCTTATACTTTTACCATATTTTTCAAGCTAATAATAATATTATGAGCTTTAAGAAGAATACGTAAAATGATAAGTATAGGTCATATGAAGGTGTCCTATGATTTCAGCCATTTCCGGTGACATTTTTCAAGTGATTTAGCCCTTATTTTGTATCTTGCTTTTAAAGGAGTAAAAAACCCCTTCGCAGAAAATTTTTCGAAAAATGTCAATGTAGCGTCCATATAAAGGTACCTCCAGATTTTACCTATTTCGAGGGTCTTGACCAATCGATTTGGCTCTTACAGAAAATTTTCAATATAAATATATATTTTGGTATAGTTCCTATATAAAATTACCTCCCAGATCCTCCGATCCATAGTGATTTTAACCGATTGGCAGACAATTGTTTAACCTTCATTGAATTTTACTATGATCAAAAACATAGATATACAAAAAACAAAAACTTTAGAGTCCCCTAAAGAACAATTTGAGATGACATGGTAATGGTTGTACAATAGTAATTAACTTTGACAATTATGAAATCATTTTGTCCTCCATTAAGAGGTAGACAGAACTAAATGCTACTCAGCACGATATTTTAAAACATTGCAAATTCCAAA